GGGGGTCAAATGTGTCAGACACTTCAAACGACTTCTTCTGAACAACTGAAAGGTATAGAATCTTTATATTTGGCTTGTCGCCTCCTTGGAAAGAGCCCAACAAAGTTTGAGAATGAAAATGACCTTGACCTACTTTTAAGGTCACATGAGGCAGATATGTCAAACACTTCAAATGACTTCTTCTGAAGAACTGGAAGGTATAGAACCTTAATATTTGGCTGGTTATTTCCTGGGAAAGAGCCCAACAAAGTTTGCGAATGAAAGTGACCTTGACCTACTTTCAAAGTCACAGAGGTCAACAACATTTTAATTGATTTGTTCTTAAGAACTAAAAGGAATGGATTCATAAGATTTGGCTGGTAGCTTTTGGAATAGAGCTTTCCAATTTGAGAAGGAAAATGACATTGACCGACTTACAAGGTCACAGGGACAAATATGTCAAGTAACTTCTGAAGAATCAAAAAGCAAAGAAACTTATAATAATATTTTGCTGGTAGTTTCAACAGATGGAGCCAACAAAGTTTGCGAGGGAAATATTTTTAGTGTAATATAATATTTAATGAGAATATTTTGCTATGACTGCTTAAATATTCAGGTGAGCGATACAGTCCCTCTTGAGCCTCTATTTTTTTATTAACTTTTTGATCACAGGAAATACATTTTTTTCTTGAATCTTTATCAAATAGATTGTGCTTTTTTCTCAATTCTTTCGGTGATTATGTGTTTATTACAGGTACGGGGATGTCAAATGCTGACTCGTTCGCCATGAACCTTGTTTACCAGTCTCTTGACCACCAGCTACAGGTGAGTTATGTTACTTGGCACCCTATACAAAACTTTGATACACAAAGGAAAGCTCAAACTAAAACAGGGGTTGTGTTACCAGCCCTGTGATGAGCTATATATGAAGAATTGAAAGAAAGGAAATTTCCATCTTACACTCTGTTTCACGTGACGTGACGTCACAATGGCTCAACAATGACGTCACGTCACGAATTTGGAAATCACTGATGCCGCAATGCGGAAAAGGCAACGTGATGAAATTAAAAAACTTTTACGATATATTTACCGTACACGTTAAAAAGATGAGATATTTCAAAATGGTAGCCAGTCGAAACACATTTTCGTAGTTTCTGAGATTTGAAATTTGAAAATCCTGTGGATTGAATTTTTCCTATCCTACACCCCTGAAGATGAAAGAGTCTTATATTATGCTAGACTTTTTATTTCCTTGAAGTGGTTTCCTGATCTGGAAATGTCATTGTGATAATCATCTTTTTCGCTGAAAAACCATTTATTATTTTAACTTGATGAAAGTAGAATTAAAAATTTGATTTAAACATGACTGATGATTATATGATATTTAATGTGTTTACCTTACAGCCCCTGGCGCCATGTCCTACTAGTCGGGAATCAATGGAAATTTTTGACCAACATTGTAAGGTAAGGACCAATGGAGCAGAAGTACAAAGTAAGGGGTTCTATTACCCTGGGGTATGTTGAATTGCTTGACAGATGGCAATACGAAATTTTTCAAATGATGAAAATATCATATGCTCAATCCATTTGAAAATCTTTGGATCCTGAGCTGAGTATAACACACTTTTCTTAAACATTCTTGCGAAAAAAAATTTAAAACCAAAGCTGAATATGAAATATCAATACTTTGCTGAAAAAATAAGTGGAAATTGTGGGAAAAATCAGTAGATAACATAAATTAGATTATGGTCTGAAGTAAAGAACAGCTTCGGTCAGGAAACAGCAATCGTTTTGTTTGCCTGAACAGAAGACAGAAACTTAAAGAATGTGTCTTCATAGGAAAGGATGTGAAATTGTTTCTTGTTCTTTACAGCTTGCTCAAGAGTACTTGAAAGTTCAGACAGAAATGGCACTATTAACACAAAGAAAGTAAGTTCTGAAATCAAATTATCCTTTACTCAAAAAATGCTTCTATAGTTCCAATGGAGGAGAGAAACAGGCCAAGTTTGATTAAGTTAGGAAAATAAGTTATCATTTACATAAAAAATGCTTCTATAGTTCCAATGGAGGAGAGAAACAGGACAAATTGATTAAGTTAGGAAAATAAGTTATCATTTACATAAAAAATGCTTCTATAGTTCCAATGGAGGAGAGAAACAGGACAAATTGATTGACAAATTAACAATACAGATTTGCTAGCTTACGGTGTATCTTACATGGCATGAATTGGTTTCTGATATAAAAGATATAAAATTCCAGCTAAGGAATGAACGTCGCTTTGCCAAATTCAAGGAGTGATGATGAAATGGGTTAGTCTTGAGAACATATTTAACATTTACTGCTATGGAGTTATGCTACTGCAAAGTAATACATGTTAAATAACGCATGAAATTGACCATGGCAAGATAACAATCCTTATTATTCCATTCATCATATTCAGAGTAATGTGAAGTCCTTAAAATGTGCAGAAATTTGAAAACAAATGATAGGTCTCTAGCACAATTAATATTAATTGGTGACTGTGACCTTATTTTCAATTACACTTGGTATTGATGTGACGTAATTGCTTTTAATTGTTACTAAGGTTGAAGGAACTTGATTTATGGGCAAATGAACCTCCTCATTGGGTGGTTTCCTGGATATGTGACATTCGAATCGACCTTATAAGTGGTCAAACAATAACACTGATCTTTTTCGCAACATTCAATCTAAAATTGCTGTATTCTTTTCAGGAATGATTTGATAAAAGAATTTGAAATGGATGAGAAGAATCAACAGAGCAGTACACGCCTCGCTGAGGAATATAAACTACTTCTCCAGGAGAATGTAAGTCAGACCTTATTTTTACGATCATCTTCAAGTGTTTACAGTCTTTTAGGACACAAGTTCTCAACTTCAAAGTGCATAGCTTTCAGGGTTTCCTTATAAATTAATTTGATATATGAAGTTTCCAAATAAAATTTGTCATCTGAGAATAAATTGTAATTGACAACATGACAGCATTCCCACATCTATAAAAGTTGCAAAAATATGGCAAATAATGTTTATGCTTAGCAAGAGAATATTGAAATGGTTGAGATGTTAGAAAGGGTTAATTGGGGAAAATTAATTAAAAAACCACATTTGTTTATTTTGTTTCTTTACAGGAAAGTTTGGTCTTACTGCACAAAAACCTGAACAAACAAGTCGAGCAGGTGCACCAAATGCAACAGAAAAAGTAAGTCCCCTTGTTGTTGTAGCTATAGGACACTCCTATTTGACCTTACTTATATCAGGACCTGTCATAATGGGTGAAAGAGCCATGATTGTAAATGTATCTAAAGTGTCGACTGGTTTCACCAGACTTGTAGGCTTCAACAGGAAAAAAACTTATTTCTACACTCATTTTAGTGCCTTTTTAGGTCACCCGAGCTTTAGCTCAAGTGACCTATTGCTATCCGTTTTCGTCCGTCGTCGTCCGTCGTCCGTTAACATTTTACATTTCAAACTTAAAGTCAAGTTCTGCTGGTCCGATTGAACTGAAAGTTGGTAGGAATGATCGCCTCATGGTCCTGACAAAGTGTTGTTATTTTTCGGGTCGATCAGAAATCCAATATGGCCGCCACGGCCGCCATTTTGAAAATACCTATTTCAAACTTAAAGTCAAGTTCTGCTGGGGCGATTGAACTGAAAGTTGGTAGGAATGATCGACTCATGGTCCTGACAAAGTGTTGTTATTTTTCAGGTCAATCAGAAATCCAATATGGCCACCACAGTCGCTATTTTGTAAATACCTATTCTAAACTTAAAAACAATTAATAATAGGCCGATCTTATTTAAAATCGGTCTAGGAATGATCAGCTCATGGTCCTGACAAAGTTAAGTTAACATTATACTTAACTATTTTTTACTTAAATTGGTACATATTTCAACAACAAAAATAAATACTGTAGGACAGGTGACCGTTAAGGCCCATGGGCCTCTTGTTATTGCTACTTAACCCTTCCACCCCTATGTAACTTTGGTAGACTCTACCATGCATTGATATGGATGAGTCCATTATGGTCGACAGTGGTGAAAGGGTTAACTTATAAATTTCATTTTGTTTTGTACCTGATGTCACGGTGAACAAATATTCAAACACCATCACCAAAAAGATACATAGAATACAAAATTATATAATGGCTTCCAACATGCACTGTACATGTCACCACCATTGGAAATGATCACTTTTTTTCTTAATTGAAAAATTAAATTTCAATTACATGCTTGAGTGATTACTATTCTAGATATTGGTTGTAAATGCAGAACAAACGGTATATCTGAAATATAATTTCATTTTCAGGAGATGAGGGAGGCTGCAAGTTTAAATTGTATCAGAATTGCGAAGCTGTGCAGTGGTGATATCACGACTGTATTTTGAAGGTGCCATGTTGAAATTACGTGTGTCCTGATTGTTTGAAAGTTTTCTGGTCTGGAAAGTGATTTGTGGGACATATGTGGAGAAATGAAGTCACTGTATCAATCCAGGATGTACCGAACAGAACTGTTGGACTTATTGGAGTATAAGTAAAGTGATAAATGAAATGCTGGATGCTAGCCTGGTCCCAGATGCTCTAGGACTTGCACGAGAACTAGTTTGAAGATGATACAGTCATAAATAAAATAGAGGTTGCTAGAAAGCTTACTATTCCAGTCTCACATTGAGATTGCTTGACTGTTTCAGCTGAGTTTATCTCTTGCTAGGTTAAACTCAGATAATCATTTACAATTTGAGAGCTTTCTTCCTAAAACTGCACAGTATTAATCTTCAAATAGAAAAAAATATGTAGAGAAACAATTATGATGAAATATGTGGAAGGGTTTCTTCGTATTAACTCAGTTGTGAATTTCAAACAAAGATGTATCTTGTATGCTTCTATAAATTCTCTGTTAACAAAAAAAATAGGAATCATGTTTAAGTAATGTCACTGCTACCATATTGGGATCAATTTGATAAATGAAATAATGTATGCTGTGTTATATAGCCATGAATTGTTTAGATATTAAAGGCCAAAATGTCTAAACAGATTCATTTGGAGCTGGTCTTCAGCTATACATGTAATTGTATATGTATTTAGCAATTAATCTTCGGCTGTCAGTATCTCCATAGAAATATCAAATATTAAGATATCTTTGGGTAGTGGTAATTGAAGTTGCTTGTCACATTACTATTGCAAAGAGTTACATATGAAAGAAAACCAAATCTATTCATTATAACCTTTTACATAAAAATGTATTTCTGTCAGGAGCCCCAGGACTCACAGAGCTTATCCTCTGCACTGCAAGTTATGATATTTATTACCTTTGATACTTTACTGAAAAATTGATAGGAATAATTCCAAAATTATTCACTCTCTTTAAATCATATAGACAATCAATAATTGTCTTTGTATGAAAATACCTTTCATGGCCAGTATACAGTAGAAATATGGCAAAACTCTACCTTAAAACTTACAAATATATTCATATTATTCTACAGTATTTGAAATAGTAACAGTCCTGTTAGTGTATAGTGCAGATATACAATACTGTAGTTCTGTTCCAACACATTGGTGGAAGGACATTAATTGGTTTTTATCTTACTTTTAAATCTGAACAAGTTATAATGTATTGCAATTCTTGACTTGAATGCATGTATATAACTACTATCAAGAAAGAAGATAAAAATAAGGTTGTACAGGCAGGAATCACTGATGATAAGCATGCAATAGACTTTTGTCTTTCATATCAATTGATTCATAATACTGTTTTCATGTTTTTTTTATGTGGTATGCATACTTATAATTTGTAAATAATGACAGATTTGTATTTAAAATACATAATAAAATGATCGAATCTATCATATGCGGGCCGAATCAATTGTTATTTTTTGCTGATCTCTTGTGTTTGTCATGGATGTTTGAACAAGTTATTAATATAATAATAACTGTATCCTATCTCCAATATAATCTGTTACAAGTGATTGGAGCTATACACTTATTTCCCTTTTGTCACCACCAAGCTGGACAAAGGGGCCTTTAATCTGGACCCTATTACCATTTAGTACAAATCTTACATCATTCTCCATGGGTTATTTAAGTTATTTCAAAACAACATGGCATGAGTTTGAAATAATCAAATTTATAGCAGCAGTGCGATTCATATCAAACATACCTGTTTGAAGTGGTAAGCATTTACATTTTTTACTCAAACTGCCTACCTATACATAAGTAAGTGACCTTGATTTGACACACTTAAACACTTGATCTTCATGAGGGGATAAACCTGATGGTACTTGGTCACAGCAATTTGAGCAAACTAGAGGCTGAAATGACACGATCCCTTAGAGTTCACTTAACACATTTGACCCCCATTACTTTGAATGGGGATGAAGTTTATTCATGTGAACAAATTTGAAGGCACTTCACACCAGCATGCCTCTAAATGTCACAAATCAAGGCCAGTATTTATTCGGTGGAAGAAGCAGAAATGCAAATTGAGTGTGAACAGCCAAAGCTACATCAAATAGGTTCACTATGTCCAACAAAGTCTAGTACGGACATACTCCAGTTGAATAATCATCAGCCATTTACCAATCGGCTGTTACACATGCTGGTAAACAACAACCAATCACTGCCTTGCTTTCAAATAATCGTGCAACGCAGACGGACTACTCATTGCTCTGGTTCAACCAAAGAAATCGGTAGGTTGTACCATAGTGGTCTGGACATGCCCTTCGTAGCTTCTCGTGCTAATACATATTACATTAATGTACTAAAATGAGTACGATCTTGCTCTAGTTAGATCATTGAATTTTTTTCATTGTTCCAGGTAAAGCTGAAAAATATTAAAATCAGGAGGAATTCATTTGTAAAATAAATCTTTCAACATGTAACAGGATATTAGATTGATGGATCTAAATGCAATAAACAACAAACTCCTAATTTTCTTTTTAAGTACATGATTTTTAATTATTTTTCTCAATAAAATACATGTTTATATATATATATCTGTGTATACATATTACATAACAATAAATATGTGTTATGTAATAAGGAAAAAAAGACAATGAACAAAAGTAATTTGGAATTAATGATGTTTGTGATGAATGTTAAGTGTTAATACAAATGCAATTCCTTTCTCACTTTTGAAATAAACGTTCAGGCCTACCAAGACAAAAGGATAAAGGAGATGCAAGATATCAATTGCGGTATACCATACAACAAAACTGCTCGTAAAATCTCAATTTAAACATAATTGACTTTGAAAAATGAATCTACACACACCAGGTACCAGGTACATATACACAACTTCATAAAGTTTGATGGATTCAATCATGTATCTGAAAATACAGGCCAACTTACAAAACAGTACATGGGTCAATCCAGGAATAGGGAACATACTCATTTTATGACAATCTTCTGTCATTCTGAAAATTGATTTCGACTACTTTTTATCAGAACAATAGAACCATACCCCAGAATTTGATTTTTTAGCCTGCATATCTCCCTATCATCAGGGTGATGTGTTACAAATGAAAAACTTCCAACTTAGCCAAGTCCCCCCCAAAGTGTACACATTGCATTATGTATAACAATCAATTGGATTAATTTTACAACAGAATTCTAGTTTGTAGAGCCTCCTGAGATTCAAAATAAAAGTAGTCTTCACAACTAATGTTCCGTCTTTTCCTACAAACCACTGGTACAACTCTTTATCAGATTAAGATGGATATGTTTCTAAAATACTGGGTAGACCATTGAACAACTAGTGTTGGTGGATAAACAAAAGCTCAAATAACGAGCACCATTGTTTCCATGGACGGATCATTAGGACCTAGTTTGGATACAGGAATCGGCTATCTGTAAAATGTATTAATGTCTTTATTTGAAGTATGAAAAGAAATAGACAGCCTACTGAGATTGCATACTAACTTAAATAAAACATATGTACATGTATATGTAAATACTAAATGAGTGTCATCAACTTTAAACATCAATACCTTGAGAAAACATACCATGAGAAAACATGCACAAGTTTTCCTATGTCTTCATATAACATCGTTTCCATGAGAAGCTGTACATGATATATTCAAATGTCATGTTCACAAATATGAGCACACAACCAATACAATAAATAAAATTAACAAGAGCACATCTGGACAGTGAGTGAAACATACACACTCTACACTCGTACACACTAGTGTAACACAAAAGATAAAATGTGGTCAGAAAACGGGAAACAGAAAACAGACAAATGATCTATTCACCAGGATCAAACTTCACAAGCCTTTGAAACAATTGTGAATTTTTCAAATTTATAACTTTGAAAATAACTTGCATAAATATGAATATTTTTGTGTATGATCTCGGGATGATTATTTTGAACTCCAGGACAGGTATATTTTGTTTTTGGGTAAAATATCAGATCATTGTAATATATACCTTGGTGTGTCGAAGCTATTGAAGCTCGATCTGGTCTAGTGTTTTGATGGATACAGATAAACAATTAACTGGCACACAGAATTGAACTGCACATGTTTGGCAAGGACAGACAAAAATTGGTTGCTGCATTTGACAGTTACAGACGAAATTTCATGATTCAAAATTTAGAGCATGCGATAAAGGTAATTTCAGTTTTCATTGGAGTGAAGATGAAAAAAGGGGTGAATATGGCCGTCAATGTAAACCCAAGTCAAATCTTGAGTTTTGTATTTGCAAATACATTTTAACATATTAACACAAGAAGCAATAAGGAATTTACTGAAGATTACTTATATTTCACTATCTGTACTTATATTTTGCTTGATATACAGATACAAAATGTTATAGTTTGTGACATAATTGATGCTTTATGTGAATTAGAGTGAAATGCCATTCATGTATCGGTTTGAGATGAAAGATTTGAAATATTGGAGATGTGTTTCAGCCATGTTTATCAAAAATCACCATGTCTACTTACTAGGGAGTACAAAATATAAGCGAAACTCTCAGCATTTTAGAAAAGCAAAATTTGAAAATGATATTCAAACAGAGGAAAGTAACCTTTCTCAGCTTGAAAAGTTATGAAATACACAGCTAATATTGATTTTTCAACAGTTCGTAAAATTGCTCTCCCACCTCCAAAACAATTCATATTGGAACAAATTCTACATGTCAAAAACACAAATCACAACATAAAGTTCGTTGCTTAGGAAAAAACAAAGTGCATAGGTTATATATTGAGACATATAGCGCTGATGTACATTTTCTGTTTATTGTGGAGAAAAGTCATTGCTGCGTTCAAATGAAGATGAATTTTTCAAGCAGTGATACAGTACATTAAGTCAACAAGCATGAGAGAGACTTCAAATCCTACTTATTATGTTAGGCGTACAATATATCAATACATATTGAGATCAAATTTAAAAACAAAAATGCTATGTATCTGTAGGTTACGGCAAAAACATTTTGAATTTGTAGTTTCAAAATTTGTTGGAAACCTTTAGATTTTTAAGACCATCCCTAATTATCATCAAAAGACTTACTTTTAAACAACAGGGTTAGTTAGAGCAGTGCTTGAACTGTTTATCATGACATAATTACCGAGGGTACATTTGTATATTCTTAACCACAAATTGTACCTCTATCAAATATTTACATGCACTGAAGTCACCAAGGATAGTACATGTGACTTAGATTGAATACACTTTATTTGGAAGTAGATTTAAGACAATGGCAGTTTTCCGTGTTAATGGATCTGTCTTGAAGTCCCATTAACTCATTCACCCCTGAAATTTCATAATGAACGATTCCAACCTTTGAATTGGAAGAGTTCAAATGTGTCTTAAGGGGTGAATGAGTTCAAGAAGTTAATAAATAATGAGTCACTCATGCTACTCTAGACATGCATGAATGAGATTGAAAATGATGTACCCGTAATTTGAAATGTTAAAGTGTCAACATTTATTTAATGGGTTTTTTTGTGGGTTTTTTCTAAGCAAATTTATAAAACATAGGATATGCTATATCTTAAAACAATTCTAACCACAAGAGAAACTTTGGAAACTTTTTTTTAAGCATGCTTTTTAAATACAATACAGTAAGTATAACACTTCCCCAACCTACAAGCAAGTAAAGTCATCTCTATACCTCAAGAGCCAGCTAAGAGAGAGCTGGCCTTTAATTTATACAATGATAATGATGTTGATGGAAAAACAAAACTAACTATGAGAAAACAGATTTTTTGGTGAGAATTTCATAATTGTATGATGAGCAGTAGTAGGAAAGGTAGCTAGTATGAATTGTGAGTCTGATAAAAATGGATATATTTTTGAGCCAATATTTACAATTGTTCTGTTGTATATATAAAGCTTATGCTGTATTTTCTGTGCACGTAATACATATGCCAAGGTTTTACCAAGTTGCTAATTTAGGATTTGATTACAAGACAGTTTTTATACTGTTGTACTTATTATACCTATTACCGATTCACCAGCATTACTTAGTTTCAAGTCAAAAGATACAATTCTACAAGCCTGAAAATTCCGTCAAATAACCAATTCTTCAACTTAACAACCATATTCTCAAAAGAAATTTCAAAGTGGCTTTGGTTTAATAAATCTTTCATTTTACAGCTGGTGTCAGTTTCCTATAAAATGTACACTAAACCAACTACACCATTTTGCTTCAAAGTTTCATCCTTTAACAAACTCACCCCTGAAATTTCATAATGAACTAGTCCAGCCTTTGAATTGGAAGAGTTCAAATGTGTCTTCAGGGGTGAATAAGTTAACCTACCAGTTTTTACACACTTCTTTATATAACGCTAACATTTTTCAGGATGCATGGTGGCAGTATAACAAGGTTCTGCTGTGTGTCAAGTGTCCGTAAATAGTTACATTTCCAAACTAATCTTTAATATTTAAACATTTTCCAGGCTGCATATTGGCAGTACGCAAGAATTTTTAATACAATTGTATTTTCCTAAAGGCATGGTGGCCGTATAACAAGATGTTAAAATATGTCCTTCAATTATCATATTCTAGCTGATGTAATGTGAACGATGAGCTCACAAAGTGCCAGTACCTTGGTAACAAACTGGCAGCACTTGACTGGTATGGAGTAGGTTGTATATGATATCAGTGTATCTTAACCTTTCCCTCCCCCTGAATGGTGCACACATAACCCTAGCCTGTTGCTACAAGACTAGAAGAAGTATATTGCATATAAATGTTTTAGTATGGCTAGTCTATTCTCTATTCTATAGAATCCTGAACAAAGTAGTATCGCCATCTCCGTTTTGGCAATGTATGTTTTTTCGCGGGAGATGTCGATATATGGACACGATTAAGCCACGATTCTGTGTGTCTTTCGAGCATTCAGGGGGACTGGACATCCTCTATATAATCAAAGCCATCGTGCTGGGATATTGTTCTGTCTGTTGTTAGGTCATCAAACTGGAACAAAGAGACAATAATATAATCATACTTATGAAACTTGGTGCATCACTATCCAATGTCATGATTGGTGTTTTTTTAAATAGACTCGACATACTTAGTAAAATGAACTTAAAAAGCTACAGTTACATAAATGTTATCATAGATTCAGCTCAAGGGCTTCTACAGCTGTGATACTGGAACTGATTGTTGTATGAGTAGGTACCGGTGACTTGTCATTGGTAAGTGTAAAATGACGAGACCCCTTGCCATAACCTTCAGGGTATGAATTTAAATGGTGGTACAAGACACACTGTCTGGTCAAAAGAATCATATCTGTGACGATTCATAGGTCAGTTTATGCCATTTACAAGATCTGTTTCAGACATGGTGTTAATGTATAAACAGATAGACAAACTGATGCATGAACAGAGGGAAAGAACCAAGTGACTTACATGGGGAGAGGGAGTTTAAAGAAGAAAACACCTAAATAACAAGCCATTTGCCTGTGCCCCGCTTTGACCATCAATGCACATGTTAAGTTTGGTTGGTCTAGCACTTATACTTTCAGTGAAACTAGCTTAAACACAAAAACTTAATGTTGATGGAGATGCTGACAAAGTCCATGGACCATGAATGGTAGGCCGCATCCAGCATTTGATGCACGAGTTGAGATCATCAGATGTACTACCTAAGATGCATCTATGGTGCAAGTTTGGTTGGTCTAGCACTTATACTTTCAGTTAAACTAACTTAAACACAAAAACTTAATGTTGACACTCGTCGCCGGAAAAGCAGCACCTAAGTCTTGCTTCTGCTACTTCGTGGCGGCGAGACAAAAATGAAACACAGTTACACGTCCACCAGGGTGATAGCAAAGAACTTGTTGTTTGAGTTGATCCCTAATTTGTGAGATGGACACTGGCTACACTGTATCCCATCCCTAGGTTTGGAGGAGGCATCTTTATCTACTTACCCCACTCCTTTCACTCCGGAGTAAGTCATCACCATCAATAGAGTTTTCATCGATATCCTCCTCAATCTCCTCTGCTATGCTGCCATTCTCGTTCACTGATTTTTGTTCCGACTTGCTGACTGTTCGCGGACTCTTTGTACTCACACTGTGTCTGCAACGTAACAAAGCACAAATGACAGATTGAAATGCTTCAACACCAACTTAGCACCATTCTTAATCTTTTTGAATATGTGGGAACCGTTAAAATATTTGGGTTGCTATGATTTTTTTCCACATTTGGTTCAATATTTATAAAGATTAAAAGGAACATTATCTTTCCAATTTCAGAGAGAAGAATTTAATTTTCTTGCTTGTTATTCCATTTGATTTTAAAAGTACCCCAACTGATATTGAAGATTATATAATCACTCTGTTCCTAAATGTCTCCCACTCCCCACCTCAAATCACACTTGACTTCTTCTGTCAACAAAATAGATCTTTTGACTAAAGGTTAAATAGTAGAGGTTCCACTTACCCTTCACTCACAAAATCATCATCGTCATAGTCAAAGTCGCCATCTGCAGTAAAGAAACAACACTAGGTATTTGTTTTAAATAAAAAAGGTCAAATATGTGGAGAAATGTCTTTTGTGGATCAAAATAAGTGAATTCACTCATTACCTCTAATGAATTTAAGTTAATTTTAAATTTATTTGGTAATTCTGCATTGTACACTTACCTTCTTACACTGTCACTACGAAATGATGGTACTTTAACCTCCTAGGTCAACAAAATAGCACGATCAGTGCGTTTGTCAATGCCAATGGGGATGTATAAACTGAGTGAGACAAGGCTCCCCAGGGTAAACCACCATCTTATTATAACTTTTCAATGTAAGTCCAGAGAGCTCCATAATACTGTCAATGTCAATCCTCGATATTCCAGGGGTTACGCTCACTTACGTTCTCTTCACCTCTGGGATATGTCATAGCATAAATGAAGGGTCAGTGTGGGCCACCTTGTTCATGGCATAAGTTTGATTCTTTGATGTACATCAAAAGAAGCTCAAGGTAGCGTAACAGTAAAATTGTTGGACTTTGAAGACAGGTGTCGCTCCTCTGTAATCTTCAAAGGACAGGTATCAGACTAGCGTTCAGTGTTTTTTTACCCCGAGACCAATCAAAAAGCTTACCAAGTGCCTTTAATTTTGCTATGACATATTCTAGAGGTGCAGAGAGCAAAAGTGAGCATATCCCCTGCAGTATCAAGGATGTTTAATTTCGAGCCATGGCACAAATGTCCTATCGAGTTCTATGAGAAAATCTGAAGCTGGTGATAGGTTAACATTTTGAACAATGACATTTGACCAAAACACTGTCTGATCATGACAGTCACTTCTATGAAAATTTATAAGAAAATGTGAAAGAAATCAGATTGATAGTTCATAAAATTGTTTTATTAAAACAATTTCACCTTTGACCCCTAATGCTATGACCTTGACTTCTGAAGTACAAATTTTAGAGTGTTATGCGACACTTTCCTCCTGTACATGTTTGACAACATATACATGTATGTCAAGTTTCATCAGAAAAATGTGAAACCAATCAAGTAACATTCTGGAAAAAAACTCAGCTATTATCATTTACCGATTCCATACCTTGTGCTGTGGTACAATGCATTATGTTTGGTTTGGTTTGTTTGTTTGTGTTTTACATCCTATTAACAGCTATGGTCATTTAAGGATGTGCCAGACTTGGGTGGTGGAGGACGCCGGAGTTCCCGGAGAAAAACCACCGGTCTATGACCGGTACCTGGCAACTGCCCCATGTAGGCCTCCAACCTGCAACCCTGTCGTGGAGGGCTAGCGATAGCAGAATGTCAGACGCCTTAACCACGGCCCCACAGTGTATTATGAGAAACTAAACTTTATTCTATAGCATAGTAGTACCAAATTGTATTTTTTTTATATTTAGTATTTAATATATAATATTTAATTCTATCATAACCCAACAACATTTTTCATTGCCTGAAGCTATTGATCTACCACTGATCTCACGACCATTTTTTCTTAAAGAACTGCATGTATTATAATATGATCATTAAGATAAACACACACCACCATCAATACCCAGGCCAGCTAAGTCTCGATCCATATTTCTTAGACTGTCATCACCGTCATGTTGCTCTGCAATGGAGATGAGGTGCTCAATTTACAAACAGTGTGAATTATTGTCTCATAACTCCATGTATTTCCTCAAAAAGAACAAAATTCAAATTTTAAAAAAAAGAAGAAAAGAGACAAATTGAAACTGAAAAGGACTGCCTCAATTTTCCCCCACATTTTTATCCCCATTTCAAAATTAATAATCTTATAATTGTGGCACACTAATTAAACAAGAATATGTTTTGCGTTAACTTGTTTCATTTTCTTGTTTTCAGGTTTGACATATATACATTTCATATCATTTTAATTTTACATAAATATTTCAAATGATTTAATTTTTTGCAAGACTTTTTAAGAACCAACTTACAAGATGTAGATGAATATAGGGTTTTTGAAAAGTACATTTTTAAACCTTTCCTATGTTCCCATTTTTTGTTCCACGAAGGTGTTTCCAATCAATCAAGAAATGGCCAAATAAACTTGGAGTAAAGCCTTGTACACAAAATTCTGTTATACACTAAACTTTTCTCTTGAGGAAATACAATATCAATACACAATAAGTGCCAGAGGAAATAGAAGTTGTGCCATGATTTTTATAAGTCTGAGCCATGTCACAGACCAATAATGATGTAGACAAAATTCTAAAATACACAAAATTTGGTGATGGTTCTCGACATGAAGTACAGAAAGTCTTAATAAATCCGGGAGCTGCTGATAATTTATTTTTATTACTGTTTATTGGTAAATTTGATATATTCACTTGAAATTTCAATAGAGAACCATCATGTTTTGTTAGTAGATTCCACTTCTATGATGAAATTTTAAAAAGTCTTACGTTGTTTGCGTGGTTTCTGTTGGTTCAGCATGGGAAGACCCTGTAGTGAGGATAGACCCCCTCCAGGGCTCGTCTGGTTGGGAGGCGGAGACCTCAGTGAGCTTCCGTTCAAAGATTTACCTCGTTCATCACTGCAACAATTAAAATATTTTAATTAATTTCACAGATAAATGAGTTATATAATAGTCATTTAACACGATATCAATCCATGTTTTAATAAATTGTGATAGAAAAATGTACTCATGCTTTTAGTATTGAACTTTGAGATTTTGCAAAAATGATGGCGAAAGTGTTAAAATAGTGAAGAACAAAACTGAAACAGGCTATAAAAACATTGTCTCAGGTTAAATATACTGAAGAAAACTGCTATATTATTAGTTGTTGGAACTTGATATATCATAAAATTAAATATACATGGCAATTATTGAAAAGATATTGTTTTAATAACAGAAATAAATAAATATGCAAAATTGGGGATATTAAACATGAAGCGGAATATAGCAAAATATAAATTGAAAAATTGTGAATATAATTAACAAACTATATAGGCTACAGGTCCTAAACACTCACATGCGTATATATTTTTTCATTAAGATTTTTTTCAACACAGCTTTTTATCCTTATCAAATCGGTGAACTAATTTACATGTATTCTGACTCCATATATGAAAGACAGAATTATCAATTTTTGTGCTTACTGGGAAAGTTCTTATAACTTAACAAAAAATAAAACCTATGGCCCCTGAGGGTAAGGCACTTTGTTTGTGCAATTTTGAAATCCTAGCCTATAGGGACCACGGAACCAAATCAAAAATAGATAGTGGGTTTTTCCCCTTTTGGGCAGAAGATTTGATAGGAAGGTGAATGCCTCGGGGCCTGCTGGTTGGATATTAATGTGGCAGCAGTTTCGAAAGTTTTATGTGTGGGTTGAACTACATATATGGGTGTGAAATGTATAAAAAAAAAAACTGTTTTTGTCTGGGGGAGTTTGTAATTTGTTGTAAGTTTTGATCAATTTTTGTTTCCGAATTCAATACAAAATGGCGGCCCCCATATAAAAATATTCAAATAGGTAGATTTTTTTTTAACTTCTTTATTTACAGGTGTGTGAGATGACATTCTTCAAAATGAGGGCAGGTAAACCAGTGTGGATAACCCCTATATTTAGGTATAGCTCCTCTGTACCATTTATTGCCTTCACTGAAATAATACTTCTTCTTCTTTTATCTATTTATGTAAGTCATTGATTATTTAATTGTTCCCATAGTACCTGGGTAATCAGGTCATAATTATGGGACAGACGACCGACTGTTGGCAATAGCTTTCTTTGGATGATCAGGTCAAAGTGCATCAAGGTTTCATTGTCATTGAAATCGTCACTAAATTGTATGTTATAAAATCGCTGCATAAAAAATAACACAACGGTGAGTTGGGTTGTCTATCAGAATATAATTAATACTTGGCAGATTTTTCTGGGAATGTGTTCATGATTTTCTAGATTTTGTTATCAAGATAAGGTTACTGAATCTATACAGTACTTTTCTTAACCATTATTTTGAATTCAATGACAACAAAGTGAAATCTAACTGATTAAAACTAATTATAACAAGAAACCACATTACACTGTGAACAAAAAATCTTAAAAAATTTAGAATTACTTTTTCTATCCAGACCACGTTATATAATTAACATGTGCACATAAGTAGTAGACCATAATTCCAAATAGTTCTACGAAATTTAAATTTTATATCAGAAATGAAAGAAAAATGTATTAGTTCATTAGAAGGTATGAACATGGTGCCAAGACGTCTGTAAAACAAAAGTGATCACTACAGAGAAATCGCACAGTGAATTAAAACAATTTGAAACAAAGTCCTAAAAATACACTCAAGAGCAACACATATAACCACATATAAACCAATCATTTTAGTACAAAATCACGCCAAATCCAAGACACTCAAAGGTCAGTTTAGGACAAATATCAAGCACTGTCCAACACTCAAACAATAGCCCACCTCCTGAGTGACGAGTACACGGGGATTTGGGACGGCCGTGGCTTCAACTCCTGCCTCTGAGGTTGTGGCTCATCCTTAATACTGACAGGGCGAACCCAAATAAACTTAATCACCAGTGTGTAACGTACATATATGTACATGTGAGCTTTGATACAGTGTGAGGGGTTGGGTATAGGAATACACAGCTAGGTAGTTTCTATTTCTATTTTCGTGATTGTTGTGCTAACCAGCAAGGTCATTAAGGGTACAAGGTGCATTCACTCCCTTGTAAAGATATACTATATCTACATTGTACATAGGCAAGGCTGCTACACAAGGTGGTTTGTAATTAAGTATTATATGCTGTATATATTTATACATATCCTGAGGTATATATTTGTATATAAGGTGGATGCTGGTAAATGTTATATCTATAGTATATAATTAAATGTGATAATCGTTTGAAGGATCAAACAGGGATATGTCACAGATGTTGACTTGTAAATAATAACAGAGGCTGTTAACATTTGCTTGTTGCAACATGTCACATTTATCATCATTTTGGATAAGAATATACACGCATTGCTTTGTCTTAATGTTGATTCATTTCAGTAAATATTGAAAATGGAAAGAAAAAAACATTTCTCCAAAATTTGTCTTTAAAAAAGTATGAATATAGTAATACATGTTGACTACATTAAGGTTTTATTCGAAGAAAACAACTGAAAAATTGGACTTTAAATTGTACAAAAAAAAAGGAAATTTATTTCTGCTATTTCATCCACAACTCAATCATTTCATACAGATTTGATTTATGAAATTTAAATATAAGTTCAGCATTTCACAAATACTAACTATAGAAAAAACAAAGCTGAAAATTTCAAGATTGCCCTTTCTTTGATGCTGACGATATTTGTTCTTTATTTCAATACTTGTACATAAATTATTATGAAATATTTATGCCTTATCTTAAACTTGTGTACAGCAGAAAAAAAACAAAAAAAAACTTGTTTTTGGACTATTGGTACTGGAAGTAAGGGATAACGATGGGAAGAAAAGCTATATTCCTCTATATGGATCTGTGACAGAGGTCAAATTTCGTGGGAAAGGAAGGGAGACAGGGGAGACAATTCAACAAGTATGAACATACCTTAGACATTTTCACAATACAATTGCACAACTAAAACACATTCAGGTTAATTTAAGCATCATTAATCAGAGCAATCATCCAGTGACAGGTTAAAAAGCGGAGCATAACAAGCATAAACAAATTATCACATGCTTTAATTACTTGAGGTATTTGTCCTTCAGCTTGATTTTCTCTGCCCTTACTGATTTTTTCAATATTATACTGGATATTTATTTCTGAACAAGCTATTGCAGATTGTCAGGAAAAGAAAAGGAGCAAGACAGAGAATTCATCATTTTTCAGTGAATATTAGGTGAACTAGATATAAATATGTGTCATGCAAACTAATCAACAACAATCCTTAGGCTGAAAAACGTAAATAATTGAAATTAAAAAACAATCTATAAATAATTTTACACTGTAACAATACATAACATATAACAAAATAATATGAAAGTACAAACAAAACTAAAATTATGGAAAACAATATTAAACTATACTTGTCAATACAGTACTGATAATCTCAAGTACATTTAAAACAGAAAAGGGAATATGTTTCAACTTAAATTTAGATTAAATTGACGAAGGCAAAGCAGGGGGTGGGGACATCTTTTTAAAATAAAATTGCCTTATATGGAAAGTTCTTTCTGTTCAATACTAACTTACCGATGTATATAGTTCAGATCTGTCTAAGTGTTTTCATTAAGTACTTGTCGTGTTCTTGTTTAACCAATCATACTGATTGTACATACTGATCAATCTATACATGAACTGAAGATATTTCTCTCTGTCAAAATCAGGAACCCAGGGCTCAAAGTGGCTTTTTTTCCCCCGTTTTGTAGCCTCTTCAGTATATCACTCCAAAAAATCTAGGCCCAATCAGAAAATGTATTAGCACAGTCCCAAATTAGGTTCCTATCCATTTTTATTGCACTGGAGGTTTCATTTCTACTTCCTCGACTGCTTGTATATCTGTCCCAACATTTGAAACTTGTTTGCTATTTTGTGAGAAGATTGTGATCAGCACCCAGAGGTGTTCTGAGTGGCTCTTTGTGCAAGATGTGATCAAATCAATCATTTTGGTGACATTAGTGTATTATTAAAATAAGAGTCAGAGGCGGGAAACTTTTTCTGGATTTTTACTTGATGTCTGAATTTTTTTTTCTGGTGGCCAACCAGGTGACTTATGAAACAACTTTTGAATGCCAATGCTTAATTCTGGCTGCCATGTCGACTAAAAGAATCACCCATTTGAGCCCTGGTTGTAGGCTTGAATTAAACAGAAATGACAATCTCCTTTTCATTTTTGATTGGAATTCAATCTTGCATTATACTTTCTAATGCAGGAGATAAAGTTCTTGCCACAATTAAACATTATTCCTATATCAGGTAAGCAAAAGAATACTGAAACCTATAATACAAAATCTTTATATCTATTCTACATATATGACCCTGCAGATAAAACTTTAAATCTATTACTGTACAAAAAATAATAAGTTTATCCAAGTATACAGCACAAGCCAAATTAAGTGTCGCCTACTCTATGACGAACTAAAAGATTTCACACGTCCTTCCCTAAGCAGAAAGCAAAACAAAATCAAAAACCTCCAAACCAAGTGAAGTCCTTGTTTAAACACTTACCCCCCATACATCTTTAAACCAGCGGAACCCTGCATCGGATCATCGAAAAATGGATCCTCTTCAATATCACTACCCCCCATCAAATCTGCTTCAACGGAGTGCTTGTTTGGACCGTTTCGTAAGTCATCGCTCCTACCACTTAACAAATTCTTTTGGTTTTTTGAATCCACAAAACTTTTCCCTTCAGATAAACTTCCCTAAAAGCAAAAAGAAGAAAAAGACAATAAAAATTACAGCTACACATCCCATAAACAAGCACCAGATGAATTTCACAAACATGTAGGGTATGTTCCAATTTTTAGGATGGTGTATTCATATTGCTTCTAACATTCATGATGACTGATGATACAATAACTATCTAATATCTGGAATTCAGTTTTTGCTAATATCTTTCTGAAACTGTCAGCAATAATGGATTCCGGTGGTCAATCTGGACTCGGATATATCCCAAAAGAAGCAATTTTCTTCAACTTCAATACCTGTCAATATGAGTTATTCACAATAATTCAATATTTTACATGAATGGTACAGCTCTTACCCTACTGTGAGGTGAGCGTGCCCGCGGCTGTGGAACAATATCTGCTACATCACCAGCAACCACTGTTCTACACAAGATGAACAGGCGTTTGTACATCTCCTCAAACTCATCAAAATTGATACCTGTAAATAGAAAGTAGAGTTCTTCAATTGATTCATGTACCAAAAAGAACAGTGTTATATAGTGATGTTGAATACTTTCAAGAATAAGTTTTTTTTTATTTGATGTCCGAGATGTTACTTGCCAAGTCCCTTCTATCATACTCTGAACCAATGCCCAGCAAGGCACTATGATAATACAAGATTTTTTTGAGTGCATGTTTTTTTCCGCTCACACACCTTGATGTACATATTATTGAAATACTATTCTTATCCAGTATTCTGGCATTTTTTTTTTATATTTGGGAAAAAATGTAAACAAACATGAAAAACTCTTTATTCATTACTGCTGTACATGTTGTGCTTTTCCTCGTTGAGGTCATACCGGTATATGTATAACTGTTAGTATGGCAACATTTTTCTGTAATCACATGATTTCAAAAATCTAAAAACCCATATTTGATACCAGACAGAAATATTTCCTCAGTGCTGTTCTCCACAGGATATATGTTGGTATCGGTAACATGCACAAATACAGGTTGTCATATATGCATTACAGTGTATTAAGTAAATGAAAGTAAAATCCACAAGGGTAGGTTATAATTGGAGTAATACCGGAAACACTGCACAGGACTACTGACTGATTGAGGTCATAGGTTGATATACTACTACTGTTGTGTCCTTGAACAAGACACTTAACCCAGTCTACCTAGCTGTGGAAATGGGTACCCGGACTAACAGCATGCTGGGCAAAGTAAAAGTATAGAGTTTCCTGCTGTTGCAAAAGACATATCTTTCCAGGACGGGCAAAAGACTTACATCTTTCTGGGACGAACAAACGACTCCACATGGACTAACAGACTTTGAAAGACTTGATGTTTAGTCTGTCCGAGTCTTAATTAAAGGATTTAATATGAATCTGTACCTGAGATCACAACTTCCTTACCCACATACATAAATGTATACATGTATATGAAAGAACATCTCCTTTCTTATTCTACAGTACCACACAATATCAGTTATCCAGGCTACCACATTGCTATCTAACAGGCAACAAACATACTCAGTACATGCCAGACTTTTAACATGATATTTTTACAAATAATTTCTACCAAATAAATTCAGTCTAACTTGTACCTTGACCAGTATAAATATCTACAAGGTGTGCAGATAAGGACAGAATGGAGTAAAGCACATAACATGTCTTTTAATGTCTGTATTAATTGGACAGTGAAGGGGATGTCATTCATTTCACGTGCTTAGAAACTGCGGAGGTAAAATGTCAAGCTACATTTGCACACTAATGTTTATCACACAGGAGGGATATGTTTAAGCCAATGGTGTTAACTTTCAATTCTTTACTTACATTATGGAGTAACCATTTTACAAAACTTGAGAACTGTTTCAGCAAGTGTAACAGTTCATGTTATTTGCATTATAGTTGATCAAAAGTCCCAGCATGCAATATGTTTTATTATTTGCATTATAGTTGATCAAAAGTCCCAGCATGCAATATGTTTTATAAGTTATTTGGATACTGAACAACATCAACAGAAGTTTCCAGAAATCGGTTTTTAAATTTTTATGACATGTGCACCATGCCACACACATTAACAAAACTAGATGTTTGTAAAACACTATATATATACATATGTACCCCCATTCCTGTTTTGACTTTTGATAGAAATGAAGCCAAATGCTAAGTTTTACTTAAGTCTATAAAGCAGATAATACAGGTCACAGTGACCTACATGTTACATAATGCTGTAGTAGTCATGAAGATATATACAGCATCTGCATACAAAGTTGGATTGCAGACACAAACACTGAGCTGAACACAAAACCTAACAAAGACTGTTGTATGGACTGTCGGACTGACAGAAAAGACATTAAATGTGACATGGGCATAATTATGTACATTAATTTCCTTTACAATATGCAGTCAAACTTTGTAACTATCAATCCACAAGTTTTAAATAGTCTCGGTTTATGTTTAAAGTTGATTTTGGTCCCATGATAGTTTATTGTGATGTAGTTGAACTCAGAACAAGTATCCAGTTTATTTTATAGTTCTCAACAAAGCCAACACAACTAGGCTTAACTGGTAACTGCATTTGACATTCAGCTAATCAATGTACTGAAGTATCAAAACATTGTCTTCAGTTTTATCTTTACCTCGGACAAGATCTGTTACAGGAAATTCATGCAGCAAGTGCTCTTTTCAGTTAGAGATTTGGTAGCCTCACTCAAGATGCAACTTAAATATGTACCATTGTTTACATGCCAATAAGCATACCACAGACATATTTTACCTTTTGGCATGAGTGACAGGTACCCTAGACAAACAAGCACAACATCTTACTAACAATTCATACATTTTCCCCAACACACATTGGCTGGATTGTCTTCATCTTCAATTGGCAGAAATCATAGCCTGTACAAGTGAACTTTTCATACTGTACAGGATCTTTTGGGAAAAGAATTTTTCAATAGTGTTGTTGTTAAGATAATAAGATGTCAGGTCCAGTCAGTGAGATCTTTCCATCTCTTTTCTAGTAAACTTTCATGTCAGAGGTATGTACATAATTTCCAAAGGTCACAACTAATGGAGCACAGCATTTGTATAAGGGACAACATTTTTCAAATACTGATAAATTGAAGATTTTTTTGATTTTTTTTAAAGAAAGTTATTTCCCTCAATGCCCCCTTTCAAATGGTGAAAACAATATCAAATTTAGAAGGGAAATGGAATGAAATGGATAAACCTCACCATAATCATCTTTAATTAATGGGTAAATCCTTGAGAATGTCTAGCACAAATTAAGTAAAACTCATATCTAAATTAACACAGTTTCAATACTTTCCATATAAAGCATATAAATATTTATACAATAACTTCTGTTTCACTTACTGCTGCTGAAGTCACGATCTGCCGCACGTAACTCGTCGTTGACATACCGATCCAGCATGTTCCTGAAGATACAAAACACACCATTCCTTCTGTGACTGTAGCAAAACACTATAGAAAATTTAACATGAATGAAGTAAGCGAAACTGAATGCGTTAGATACTAATTGGAAATGAATCAGTTGTACAGGATATTTCCCTAAACATGAACACCCAGATCTATTTATGACAAGAAAAGTCTTAAAAGGAATACCTGAAGATTTAGTTGTGTTATTCTTAATTAAGTTACAATAATAATTTATTGTGTCCTCTGTATGATTTATACTTGCCAACCTTTCAATTTCAATTTGAGATAACATGTGGAAAAATCTGAACATTTTTCATATAGACTTGTTTGACAAAAAACATTGTGAAACATCATGCTTCAAGCTTTTTTATACATTGAACATGTTAAAACTGTTGATTTCCTAAGTCACACATGGAGGCTAAAATTTGGAAGTTTTCTTCTAAATTAGGAGACTTGTGGAATATAGTATAGCATTATTACATGTTATGAAGAGCAGATTTTTGTACCTTGGTATACGTACCTATTAAAATTTGGAAACATATCCATGAACAGTTCTCTTAGTTCATCTTTATCAATCTCTCCATTTCTATCCTGAAAATAAAGCAGAAAATATATGTATTTTATACAAACAACAATATTAGAATTAACTATAAGAACCTTTTATAACTCAAAACAATTTTTACCTGCAAACTAACATTAAAATTGTAGTGGTATACAGTATAAAATTACATGACTTATTTTCAGAAGAACACGAAAATTAATCAAATTTGGCTTAAGAGAAATTACAAACTCAGGATAAGGTACATATACCACAGAAATCATAAACTGTTTCTATTACTGTACTAAAATTCTGTTCTCAAGTAATTTTCTTGTAAGCTTGGAAAGATCTTGTGATTGAAAATTTAATTAGAACTTTCATAAATTACTTTCTGTCTTGAATATAAATTGATAATTGATCTTGAGCACAAGACTGGAATTAAATATGTCACAAATTTCTATAAAGAGCATAACTGTAAAATAAAAGTTATACATCAATATGTGGAGTCCAAAGTGTCATTATATCAAGGTATTTATAATTGCAACCTACCTTGTCATAGTAATCAAATTTACTCTGTGCATCTACTAACTGTTTCTTTGTTAATTCCTGAAAAAGAAAAAGTTATTATTACATGTATTATTTTGAAAATAAAAATAAAAATCACAAAGCCAACAATTTTGTATACAGGGAATCAGTGTATAATTGCTCTACAAGACACTTTTTAACAGTTTATTAACATATTCAACCATTATTGCTTAAAATTTGTGCAACTATTAAAAAAATAATATTATAAAATTGTTGTTATTAACTGCCAATAGACCACATTACTTGATTGAATCAGTACTACTTCTTAAGTTGTTAAGACTCAAGGAATTAATGCATAGTCAGGGATGTTTTGTGTACTGCAAGAAACAGACCTAGGATCTAAATTAGGAAATTATTGACATACTTTTTTTGCGGATAAAGATGTATCTAACAAAGCAAGAAGAAAAACTTTTAAATCTATATATCAGAAAATTTGATGTTATACATGAATATATATGAAAGCAATGAATTTGGCACCTTTACGTGGTAAAGCCTGTTTTATGTACATTGTATGACATATCCACATATTACCTACATTAATACAACTGCCCCCATCTAGTACTGTAAGCCAAAGGCTAACTATAACCCTCGCTCCTATGTAAACCAGAACTGTAAGCTTATTGGCTAACTAAGGCAAAGCATTGCAAAGCAATACATAGTCTTCCCAAGTAATTATGTAAGTATATATGTCACTGACATACTTCCTGTACTCCCTCCCTATGTCAAAACACTTCTCCGTAAAAAAGGGTCAGATTTAACAAGTATTTTGCACAATGGGGCATAACTCCACCAAAAAGGGTTGAAATCCCAAATTACAATGCTGGTGCACAACTACATAAGATACTGATCATTCATGCAAAGTAACAATGAAATCCACCTGTTAATTAAGGAGGAGTTGCGCGGACAAGTATTTCGCACAAAGGGGCATAACTCTATCAAAAAGGGTCGAAATCCCAAATTAAAAAGCCGGTAAACAACTACATAAGATACCAATCATTCATGCAAAGTTTCACTGAAATCCACGTGTTAGTTAAGGAGGAGTTTTCCAGACAAGTTACTGTGGGCGACAGACAGACATCCAGACAGGATGATTCCAGTATACCCCCCTAACTTCGTTGCGGGGGTATAAATACATTAAAACATTTTAGCACTATACCAACATACTGATATAAACAGTACCCACAAAGCATCTGCAGTAGCAATGGTTTTAGTGTATAGATTCAGGAAGCTGTAAGCAGGTATACACTGTTATAGGCGTGTAGCGTTCCTCACACCAGATATACAGATCCGGATATACAATATGGTGACCTGGGCACTACTTCGTTTTCTATAGCATTTGGTTATTTTTCGCTGTGCATCTTATTTTTTTCTGTTTGCAGTGAAATGAATAAGCTGAAACATGAAATACCCACTGAATACTACAGCAGTATTTATATAATACCCAAAAAATATATTTGCATTCAAAAATAAATCTACCAATTAGAGGCCATCTAACATTGATTTCAAACATATACATAGATTTTGAATAAACCCGACACAAAGCATTGTGTCAGTAATAATAAACGATAATCCCCACCACTTGTGATGACTTGACAAGGACATAAACTTATCAGGTAACACTACATCTGAACAGGATGGTAGTCTCTTTCATAAACTTTATAAGAAAAGTAAAACAATCAGAAATTAGGGTACACTACAATGTTTTGGCATTTGACCCCTTGCTGTGACCTTGACCTTTCAGATATGAATTCAAGAGTGACATGTGATGATTTTCTCTTTTCATAGCGCACATATATATTGAACATTTTTAGAAAATATGAAAGAAATCAGTAGTTATGGTCTGGAAAAGTGTAACAATGCTATGACTCTTACGTTTATCATAACCTTGAACTTAAGGGTAAGAAACTAGGGTACAGATCTGAAACTGTAGGAAATAATCAAGAAATCTAAATGGCAAAGGCATTCATTTAAGAGCTTTAATCTGTCTTAGCTGATCAGATGCTACCTTGGATTTTTGATCAACATGAAGTTAAAAAAAAGGAAAAAGAAAACTGAAGACAAGAAACAACAGATGGACACAAACAAAAAACATTAGATAAAAGTATATGAGAATACTTGTACATATACACAGGTACAGACATTCACAGATGGGAGGAGATACTACTTCTGTTTACAAAGCTATACAGATTCTATACAGAAGTTGTACCTATGCTAGATAGAAATTTTTCACTACAGTTACAGTGGTCAATACTACACTAATGTTGGATCTACACTGAAATTACACTGTTACTCCTGATCTACAGCGAAGTTATACTACATTAAAACTACACTGTATTCTAACTTAGGTTACACTAATGGGATCTACAGCAAACTTAATCTACTGGGTATTCCTACTTAATCTACATTACACTGGTTCTTCACTGATGTTACACTGAATCTTTACTGAAAATTGATCTAAACCGATGTTAAACTGGAGCTACACCGAAGTTATACTGGATCTACACTGCAGTTATACTGGAGCTACACTGAAGTTATAGCTGGATCTACACTGAAGTTATACTGGAGCTACACTGAAATTATACCTGGATCTACACTGAAGTTATACTGGAGCTACACTGAAATTATACCTGGATCTACACTGAAGTTATACTGGATCTTCACTGAAGTTATACTGGATCTATATTGAAGTTATACTGGAGCTACACTGAAGTTATACCTGGATCTACACTGAAGTTATACCCGGATCTACACTGAACTTATACTGGAGCTACACTGAAGTTATTACACTGAAGTTATTACACTGAAGTTATACTCGAGTTACACTGAAGTTATACTGGAGCTACACTGAAGTTATACTGGAGTTACACTGAAGTTATACTGGATCTTCACTGAAGTTATACTAGATCTACACTGAAGTTATACTGGAGTTACACTGAAGTTATACTGGATCTACACTGAAATTATACCTGGATCTACACTGAAGTTATACTAGATCTACACTGAAGTTATACTGGAGTTACACTGAAGTTATACTGGATCTACACTGAAGTTATACTGGATCTACACTGAAATTATACCCGGATCTACACTGAAGTTATACTGGAGCTACACTGAAGTTATTACACTGAAGTTATACTCGAGTTACACTGAAGTTATACTGGATCTACACTGAAATTAAACCTGGATCTACACTGAAGTTATACTGGAGCTACACTGAAGTTATACTGGAGTTATACTGAAGTTATACTGGATCTACACTGAAGTTATACTGGATCTACACTGAAGTTATACTGGAGTTACACTGAAGTTATACTGGATCTACACTGAAGTTATACTGAATCTACACAGAAGTTATACTGGATCTACACTGAAATTAGACCTGGATCCCAAATTGCAAGACATTTACTGAGTTTATACAGTATAATCTACAATGAACTACCAGGTTAAATTATACTTCAGTCTAAAACATTTCAACAGTTCTAATAGACCTTAACAGTTAAATACTGAAATGATATATACATTCTGGACTGTGAAATTTTTGAAAGCAGTGATTTTATTTAAATTAAATTGTTGAACAAAATAGGAAAACAAATATTTTCAAAACGAATAAAAAAATTGTAAAAGCACAAGTAATGTTTCATAACAAAATAAATAATAAGATTTAAGAAATGTAATTTGAAAGAACAATTTTTATTTTTTTATTTTTTCTGGATACCAGTTTTCATGCAAAAGCAACCCAATAACTCCAACATAAATGAATATAGGCATGCTATGACAGCTCTACATGTAGCAGTACATGCTAGATACAGGTGGGAGAACACTTGTGTCGGAGGTGTATACCTTGGGTATGTTTGTATCACCTTCCCCTGTATCCCCCTCCTGGGTACCACAAAGACAAGAAAAGTCATGTCGTTAGCAAAGACTTAAACAAATATCTGAATAAAACTAAACTTTCATTTTTAGAACTTGTAATTCTACAAATCATGGCCGTTTTCGTTTAAACGGTTGGACCGGTTGGACCACAGTTGTTTGTTTATTAAATAAGGTCGGACGTAGTAATCTGATGCTGCTTTCAGGCGAGCCTTGACGAAGCCTTGCAAGGCGTGCATAGGCATTTGCAGGTCCACCAGGATTTATATCCGAAAATGTAACATTCATAGACGGTCAGACCGGTTGTTTCGCATAAACGAACAGGCCCCTAATATTTTTTTCTAGGCCAAAACAAACTATGTTGGTTTCCTGCTACATTGCCCAAACAATATGCTTATTTGACAAAATTCTTTACCCCCCCCCCCCCTACCTTCGATACTACTGGATTGGGAGCATGGTTATTTCAGTAATTACTTGTATACTAGATTTATACAGAAAGGATGAATGGCAAAGTTTATGAGGATAGGATTGACTGAATGCCATTTTGAACGCATACAGCATATATGGAAACTGCCATTTTGTTTTCATTTGGGTCAATCAATACAGTTATCTTTCCAAAAACCTTAATACATGTATTGAAAACTGGAACAGAAACTTCCAAGGTTTGTCCAAATTGTCATTTTTTTTCTTGGAACGCCATACAATGTTTAAAGGGTTTGCACAAAAAATATAGGGTCGGTCAGGTAGGAGAAAACCAACATATGTCACTGGAACGAAATTTCACTTCCTGATATAGATCTTAGTTTTGTATAAATTCATAACAAATATTGATGTCATTAAGGCAATGTATGGCAATAATTGGTATTATCTGCCAAACTTTGAAAAAACTATGCAATCTTTTCTATCAAAAACACTTTTTTTTCCTTCACAGAAAGTTTTTAATAGATGTCAATTTGTCAAAACCAAGCATCACCAACAAATAAGAGTTTGAGCTGATGTCTTTCAGAAATACAAAGAGTTCAGTTCTAACTCAGCTGGAGTTCAAACTCAACTGTCGGTAATACTAGGGCCCGCTCTCTAAGTTTTGTTCACTTCAAATCACAAAAAATGTAAATATTAGCTTTTTCTGTCAATTTCAAAGTCAGTTTAATAGTCTAGATGTATAACTGACCAATGAGTTGATGTATAAACCTATTCTAGGGATTCCCAACTCACCTCTGTAGCTGACTTTGTCCTGGCTTTCTGACTTCCCTGACCTCCTTGGGCCTGCCTTACAACCTCTGTAAACAAAGGCCCTCGTGGTGGACCATCACTGTCAACCAGATTCAACTCCCTGGCTAAACTGGCTCGACTCTCATTAGCTGGACCCTAGGTCAGAAAATGAAATACACATAAAACATAAGGCAATTTAATGTAATTTTATACCACTTGCATTACACAAAAAAATATCTGCGCTCAACATCCACCATTTAGCCTAACACTAATTTTGCAAACTGTCAAGAAAACTACCTAAATAGTAAATATATATTTAGTGGTATCTAGTTAAAACTTTGAAATGTTTGCTTGAAACTGTACATTGTCATAAACTCAATACATACTTGCCACCTTATTCTGCATGCTCAAAATTAAAACCTCAATAAAATGTGTTTATATAGCCCCTAGAGACAAAATAACCCTCTAAATGACATATTTTGAGTTTTTCTTTCAGATGTAATAATAAGATCTTAAATTATAGGAAGAGCTTAGCAAATTCACTGGTTGAAAAAGGTTGATTTAAGGGTCCAAAATTGGGAGTCACCCTCCTATATATGGAGAGTTGGCAAGTACATCAACATCTGAACCTAGAGCTTAAATACAATCACTTGGCTAGTTACAAAAAGATATCTGAAAGAGACAAAAAATATGATATGTACATTGTATTGTTATAAGATATGGATAGAGGCACCCAATGCCTGCCTCCATTACCTCTCCTATTAACTTATTCACCCCTGAAAATTCATAATGGACTATTCCAGCCTTTGAATTGGAAGACTTCAAATGTGTCTTCAGGGGTGAATGAGTTAAATCCTATTAAAATCTGAAAGGTCCCTCATACTTACAATCCCTGCCTCAGGATCAAAAACCGCTAATGTGAATTCTAAGTTGAAAAACTCCAAAAATTCTCTCACAAGAGCTGCTGCTGTTCTACCTAAAACAAGATAATAATGAATTTAAATTATGTACTGGTAATTTGTTGAGTTACTAAAAGTTTTTTTTATTAAAGCAATTGTATAGAAAACAAATAAAAATACTAAGTAACAATTCTGATTCACTTTTTTTTTATTAAACATTGTGTTCATGATCAGTTAAGTTTAAGTTATCCAGTCAGATTGTTTCTATTTTCAAAAAAAAAGTAATATTCTAAGATAGACAATTCAGCTATCAATGTATCTTAATTTCTTAGTTTTAATTTGTGACTGTCAAGTGTTTCATCAATGAATAATCAAAGTGCTAATCATCATTAATAAAGGTTTTACAGATTTGATTATTTTCTTACATATATTACTTATATATGGAACTTTTTTTTGAAAATAGATAAATATCACGAAGGTAGTAAATATGTGTTTACTATGGTAATGTAGTTTACATTTCTTATCAGAGAATAGATTTGCTTACCTTCGGTGGTTTTCAAGTACTTCTTCAAATCAGGATTAGAAAAAGGTGTTTTATTCTGAAAAAGAAAATGAAAGACAATAAATATATATTTAATGTTTAATAATCAACACATAATTAAATACAGAATACACAAAATATTACATTGTTTATTTTTTTGGGGGGGGGGGGGGGGGGCTTTAACAGAGATCTGGTAAAATCCTGATAACTACTTATAAATTGTCTTTGTTCAGCTAATACTTTTACTTCCAAAACTCATTTAACTTGTGGCATAAGTATCTTTTACCTGTACAGATTCCTGATCTTCCAATGCCAAAAATACACTGGCTCGCAGTTGTGCCTGAAACATAATTGTAAAGTATTTGCATAAAACATCAGTTTTTTATAGAAAAAGCTATTTGTACTGCAACAATAAGTATAGTTTACAATTAAGCACTGACTCCCGTCGTGCATCTGAACCTCTGCCAAACTTCCAGTGTTCTGTTACAAGCTGTCTGCCAGGAAAAACAGACGTCTTTTTATTAAGTCTGAACAAGCTAATTTATGGAGAAACAATTGCAAGAGTACGGCAGGGCGGAACAATATACGCCCGTTGAATGCCATACAGTGTTATATACTTTCTTACATTGAAATAAGATCTGCATCATTGTAAGAGTGGTTAGCTGACATGCTATAAAAAATGTAGGAGAAAATCTGTGGACAAAAAATAAAATACTGAAATGACTAAAGGGCAATAACTTTGGCAAAAATCGTTTAATCAAAATTCTTTTAAGGGAGATACAACTTCATATCATGATTATAATGTATACTAAGTTTCAAAAAGATCAATCGAAAAATGTAGGAGGAGATTGCCGGACAAAAATCAAATACTGAAATAAACAAAGGGCAATAACTTGTAAAACGAATGTTGAATCAAATTTCTTCTAAGGGAGACCCAACTTTATATCATGATTATAATGTATACCAAGTTTCAAAGAGATCGGTCAAAAAATGTAGGAGGAGATTGCCGGACAAAAATCAAATACTGAAATAAACAAAGGGCAATAACTTGTAAAACGAATGTTGAATCAAATTTCTTCTAAGGGAGACCCAACTTTATATCATGATTATAATGTATACCAAGTTTCAAAGAGATCGGTCAAAAAATGTAGGAGGAGATTGCCGGACAAAAATCAAATACTGAAATAAACAAAGGGCAATAACTTTTGGAAAAATTGTTGAATCAAAATTCTTTTAAGGGAGACACAACTTCATATCATGATTATAATGTATACCAAGTTTCAAAGGGATCGGTCAAAAAATGTAGGAGGAGATTGCCGGACAAAAATCAAATACTAAAAAAAACAAAGGGCAATAACTTTTGGAAAAATTGTTGAATCAAAATTCTTTTAAGGGAGACACAACTTCATATCATGATTATAATGTATACCAAGTTTCAAAGGGATCGGTCAAAAAATGTAGGAGGAGATTGCCGGACAAAAATCAAATACTAAAAAAAACAAAGGGCAATAACTTTTGGAAAAATTGTTGAATCAAAATTCTTTTAAGGGAGACACAACTTCATATCATGATTATAATGTATACCAAGTTTCAAAGAGATCGGTCAAAAAATGTAGGAAGAGATTGCCGGACAAAAATCAAATACTGAAATAAAAAAAGGGCAATAACTTTTGGAAAAAATGTTGAATCAAAATTCTTTTAAGGTAGACACAACTTCATATCATGATTATAATGTATACCATGTTTCAAAGAGATCGGTCAAAAAATGTAGGATGAGATTGCCGGATCAACAAAAGTTTACGCCGGACGGACAACGCCATGCAATAACACTTCTTTCAAATTTGACGGGCGTATAAATACTGTCCTCGATATTCCCTCTCCATAGACAGGTCAGGATTAGTTTCCCAAAATACATATAGCATACCATTCAATAGTGAATTGTACAGAGCACTACAATAATTAATATTGCTATACTCTTTTAGAAATCATTCAAACCAGATGTATAAAGCAATGGTGCAAACATTTATATTAAGTTTACAACATTAAATATTTCTACAAAGTATAATTGCCTATGTAGCAATTATAGAAACCCATATATGGACAATAAAATTCTTTAGCATAAAATGTAGGTACAATTCAGCATTTGCATTATGCATTCAGTAAAAGAAACCTTTGATGCAGGTATTGTCCATGAATCACTTTGAAATGGATATTATTAAAATAAGACACAGACGCATAAAAAGTAGATCAAATTTAGAATCTGCATCATGTGTTTTGTAGAACAACCATAGCTGCATCACTGATGTGAGTATTATCCATTTATAGTTACACAGATATGGACTTGGCAAGTTTTCTTATGAAAGAAACATTAACATTACTTTGTACTAAATAGTTGAAAATGGAAGACAATAACAAATCTTTACTGGCTTCTGTTTAGCATAAGGATAATCCAGGATAACCCATTAAATAACACTGAACACGTTAATCAATTATAACTGATGTCATCTTAGAGTACACAAAAACCCAACAAATGTAAATATGTGTATGTGAATTCAAGCTTTAAAGCCAGTCATTATTGTAATATGAATCAAACAATAAAATCAGATATGAAACAATCAAGTTGGATTGGTACTTTCACAGCTATGTGTATGGCTATATATATATATAGCTAGCAGCACATTGCACACCTAGGTTATCTCTTTTCTCGATGGTGGTAATTAACAGGTAATTAAGAATGCAACAACAGGAAATCAAACAATTACAAATTAACTGGTATAGTAATGGGTTTTAAGTGTTTTCCATATTTTGAAACTGTTTGAGGATAGATGGAAGAAACAATGACAACAAAAGCAGCAATAATATGTGCTTTCATTATGAAGCAAAAGTGAATACATGACAAAACTAGTAACACTTGTCACATTGTAAGAAGACTTGTCTAGCATGTTATTTGTTGTACAGGATGACAGCTACATTTTGTTTTACAATATGTACATACATTGATAAAGCATATTCACACATTTAGCAGTGACATGAAGCGTAAATGTGACATTTAGATCTCATTCATACGTCAAACAATCATATATAAATTATCTGAATTCTTCAACACATTCTTGGCAATGTGCCATTCCATGGCTAAGACTGAATCAAAGTCTCAATCTTGTGATAAGTTGTGTACTCTTCCATAATCTTTATTTTCTAATAACATTCTTAATTGCCCTGACTTTCATTATTACTTTTTGTATGCAAAACGTATTTTGGACTATGTGACAAAAGCCCATAGATCTGAATGATATGTGGAGTCTATCGTGGTCAACCGATCTAAAGCAGACCGCGTGGAAGCTTGTCAGTGCATGCAACTTGCAAGCGTCTTTTTCCGTCAGGGCACTTGTCAGCGACGATAATGGAAAAAAATAAGAAGCATGCATGATGGTGTCGAATGTCATTAACTAGAGAAGGTGTCAAAATGTTCCCCATCGAATACATACCCTTATTTTACCGAGAACGCCGTTAGTTTCTAACGTTTGAGCTACGAGGTCTCGAAGCTCAGTGTCTTCGTCTGCAGACATCTTGGTTGTTTGAAAACACTTGCCCTCTAACACTCGATAGAAATACTAAATATTCTCAGTCACTAAATTTCTATAACAAATTTTATCAAAATATATCGTTATGTTATAATTATCTCATAATGAGTATAATTTTTTAATAAATACAAAAACAGAAATGTTGAAACGACTTGATTTAATTAATTTAGAGGCTATGCCATTCGTGGTGTATTGGATTTGTTCATTCGTGGCTTCGCACAGATTTTCGGAATGCACAAATTCGACTCAACATATTGTGTTGTTGCTATAGTGATAGCCAATCAAAATGCACGACTAAAAATATCAACCAATTAATTTGGACTGAACAGGTTCTCTTTCAAAACAGCGGAAAATTCGAAGTCTTCTTGCCGTCGCTCCATGATCAAGCAGCTGTGATATTTGAAAACGTGAGTTAATAGGTTTGAGTTTTGCTACTTTCGAAAACGTAAGTATTCAAATGATAGGTGTATTTCAAAAACAGAAGCTTGATTGTTTCTTTACTTTAGATATCATAATTTTATTTTCTAAGAATTATGATTTTTGAGTTGATTTTCAATTTTAGCATGCAGAAACTCGGTATGTTCAAACAAAAGGATTCTAAAAAAATGTCTTTCTCATTAATTTCAGATCTCTTCCTGTTAGCATCGGCACTGGGTCAAATTTATTGAGAATCATTACAAGAAACCGAATATACATAAATTCATAAAAGGGAACAAACTTTGACACGCGACAACAAGGCTGTTAGTGAAACAGAACCCCAACTTCTACAACTGACCACGTTCTGAAGACCGCGATTTTACAATCAAGATGCCATCAAATGAAAATGCCAGCGCTCGTTTGAAGACATACAAGAACAAAGGACGAGATGTTGACGTAAATATCTTTTTTTTTCATCATTTTGCCCTATTGCTGTGCCCCTCCCCCTCCTTCTTTTCACATTTCAAAATAATGTGAAATTCTGGATTCACACCTGAAAATACTCCTTCTCCAAAGAAGCCAGCTGTTTTATATGAAGGACCGCTCAAGTTCTTTGTGATTAGGTTATTTACCAGATTAATTTTCCAAAATATTCAGTTTTTAATAAAAAGTTGTGTGAATCCTTCCATATTGAAAGTTTTAATTTGATGTCCCTTTAAACCTGCATTGGCCATCAGTATGGAAATATCACATGATAATTCAACTGAAAAAATGATGATTAAATGCACTCTCAACAGGAAATGAGAAGGAGAAGAAATGAAGTGTCAGTTGAGTTAAGAAAAGCAAAGAAAGACGACCAGTTGCTGAAGAGAAGAAATGTTGCAGTTGATGATGAACCGACCAGCCCACTTCAGGATGCAAGTAATAAGGTATCAAAGACATGAATGACAATCTTGAGCAAAATGTATGGTGGTCATTTGTATAAAAATAGGCTAAGGCTATTCGCCCGGCAGCCGGGTACCTAAAGCATAAAGACCATTTGCCCAGAAGCCGTGTAATATAATCTTGTCGGGTCGTACCCAAATCGATTGTTAAATTAACATCGCAAGTAGACCCAAAGTAAGCTTTAGTTTGAAAGACGAGTCCGAATCACACAGAATATTAGGAGAGAGAAAAACTACAGGTTACCGACTGTGTAGTTATAGACTTGGGCGAGTTGACCAAAACTTCCCTGAAGAAAGCAAAACGTGCAACTTTTATTTGATGTTAGGGTATTTTATTGTCGTGTGCATCATTTACCAGGTCTATCTAATTGTCTGTTTAAGTTCCTGTTGCTTAATTTTGATGTTTTCCAGTGTAAATAGTCTTTCGCGTTTTCGGTACCTGGCAGTCCTGTAAATAGCCACTCCCATAAAAATAAGGATTCTTGTCCAACTAATTTTTGGCTTTGTTTTAGGGATCTTTAAATTCATATTTTGATTCATTAACTATGATGCGAGTAATTTCAATGGTATCGTCTAGTCATCAGTTTCCGTGCATTATGTATTTCCGCGCAGCCATTTTATCAAGCTATAACCTGTAACTACGTGACCTGCTGGACACAACACAAGGATATTTTAGATGTTTGGCCATCGTCTGTAAACCGACACAAAAAATACCAGACGTTCGTCCTGAAAACATAGAAATAATCACCTATTTTAAAAAAACGCTCATAAATATGCAGTTTTCCTGAACTCTTTCAGGCCTGGCGGCCATCTTGGATGCAATCCCTAAACATCCCTTTGAGCCAGACTCCCTAAGCCATATCAGCTTCCCTAGTGATACAGCAGCAAAATATTTAACACCTACAACTAAAATCATCATAACATGCTAAATAATAAACTTACCATATTTGAAACACACAGTGTTGAATAAGTGTTCTATCACTTTAGGTAATTTTGTGTACTCCAGAATAAATACTTAATTTAAAAAAAGCTCACAAAAAGTAAACACTTTGTAAATTTTCCCCCCAAAAAAGTTATTTGCTACACTACACAACAGTATATGTACACAGTATCAGTAACTTTTCTCTGATTTTATTACTGGAACAAGTTTGGGAAATTAGCCTGATGGTAAGGCTTGAAACAGGCAACACACAAATTGACATTACACTGTTCACATCCAGATGTTGGTTCTCTCCGGATGCCCTGTTTAGAACACTGTTTGCATGTCTTCTTCTTCGCCAGGATGGTCGGCCAGTGAATCGGTCCTTCTGTAGCTTTATTTCAAACACTCTCCCTTTTTCTTTTCAGCCAATAACCTCCCATTAGTTGTTTTGCCAGGTTTTTTCTAAGTCTAGTTGTGTTCTGGGTTTTGCTCTCCCAGTTTTGGTTTTAAGTTGGTGGGTTGGAGATTCCTTCATCATGATGAACCCGTTGATGATGGAGATGTCAACCAGAAACCAAAACAGATACTTCCACAACCTCGCTGCTTTCCTTGAGATGGAGTAGGCAGAGCGAAGCTGGTCTGCTCTGTCAACACCATTCATGAAGCTTGTGTAGTTCCTCAATGCTTTTGGGCAGGGAACATCTCTAACAGTCCCATCTTTTTTCTTTCTCTGGACCATGTCCATCTCAAGTGGGCTGTCACATGTTGACAATATGTGAACAGTTCTTTTGTCATGCCATGCCACAGCAACCATCTGTCCCTTCTGCTGCATGGTGAGATCCCCTTGGTTTTTAAGCTTAGCTTGTGATATAGCCTTTGGTATGTGCTTCCTGTTTGTTCGAAATGTTCCGCAGGCGTATGTTTTTTCGCGGAGAAGTTCTTCGAACAAAGGGACAGAGCTGAAATAGTTATCACAATATACTTTGTGATACTTCCCCCAGATATCTTGAGTCAGCTCTCTCACAACACGTTCTCCTAGTCCAACTTCTGGTGCATTTCCAACTTTCCCTGTGTAGACTTGGAAGTCGTTGACAAATCCATTGTGTGGATCAGCCCTGACCCACACTNTTCCCCCAGATATCTTGAGTCAGCTCTCTCCCTACACGTTTTCTAGTCCAACTTGTGGTGCATTTTCAACTTTCCCTGTGTAGATTTGGAAGTCGTTGACAAATCCATTGTGTGGATCAGCCCTGACCCACACTTTGATGCCGCGTTTCGTTGGCTTCATTGGGACATATTGTTTGAATCCCAGGCCACCTGTGTAAGCTATCATTGCCTCATCGATTGATGTTTCGCAGTGAGGCAAATAAATAGACTTACATTTTTGTCTAATGTCCTCTAAAATTGGTCTGATGTGTGCCAATTTGTCAAATCCAGGTTGGCCTCTTGGTGGATTGTTTGTGTTGTCACACACATGAAAGTATTGACAAAGTTTGTCAAATCTATCCCTTGTTATGCGTTCAGAAATCCCTGTTGGTTTAAAAAATGCATCAGATGTGAAGTAGAGATCCTGATTTGGAGCTACTATGATTGCCATTGTG